GAGCAGTATCTGAGGCCAGTGACAGAGCCAGACATCAGCCTGACCCCTGAGCAGTATCTGAGGCCAGCGCCAGAGCCAGACATCAGCTTGATCCCCAAGCACAGCCAGAGACCAGCACCGACCTCCTCGGCCTCATTAATGCCCACGGCATTCCCACTCCTCCTCCTGGTGCAATTCCTGAACCTGCTGCAGGACTTCCTGCGTTTCCTGAAGGACAAAAAGGCTTAAGCAGCGGGATGAGCGGGATCCAGGGCTACAGTGGGCCATGGCCATTTCCTGCTGGGCCAAAGGTAGCCTTGGGGCCAGAGGCTGCTCTGTCCTGCCCACGCTGCTCCGCTGCACCCACACCGGTGCTGACGTGACCGAGGTGTTGAAATAAAGTTTCTGTGTTCCTCATTAACTGTGTTTTCAGCCCTGCTCAGTGCACCCATGGGCTGGGAAAGTCCCTGCTCTGTCTGTCAGTCTGCTGGGCTGTTCACATTCGTTCTTCAGCCTGGAGAAAGCTCCAGGGAGATCTCAGTGCCCCTTCTGGTGCCTAAGGGGGTTTAATAAAGGGGAAGAATGGCTTTTTGCATGAGCAGGTCATGATAGGACAAGAAGAAATGTTTTTAATCTAACAGAGGGGAGATTTGGAATACATTTTGGGAAAGAGTTGTTACTCAGTGAGGGGGGAGGCCCTGGCACAGGTTGCCCAGAGAAGCTATAGCTGCCCCATCCCTGGAAGTGTCCAAGGCCAGATTGGATGGGGCTTGGAACAACCTGCTTTAGTGGAAAATGTCCCTGCCCATGGCAGGGAGATTGGAATGAGATGATCTTTAAGGTCCCTTCCAACCCAAACTGTTCTACAATTCTATGGTTGCAATTTATAAAATCAGTCTATTGAAAATTTATCCTCTTTGTCTTCAGCACAGTTCTCAGAATCTGAAGGTCCAGAGGGCAGATGATTCCATCCATCATGTCTGTATTACTACAGGCTGGTTCTTCCTCTGGGTGCTCTTGTTCATAAAAGAAGCTAAAGGAGCTTAGATTAAATTACTAATAACAGACTAAGGTTAACTGACTGATGTAGGTCCATCCCCACTAGCTGCCATGCTCTTTCTTCATTCCTCTTGAGATCACTATCACTTTATTTAGATGATAGCTTTTTATCTTTTCTGACCAAGAGTCTTCTTAAAACATTGTTTACCACAGGAGAACTCTGGAATGCACAACAATCCTTGAACAAATTTTAAAGTCCTTAAAGATTTAAAGAAATAAGAGAGGTAAAGTGAAAGAAAGACTTGTGCAAAATCTGTAAAGATTTTACTTTTGTTTATGAAACTGCTTCTTATCACAATCACTATCCTGGGCACAGAGGACTTTGGGATGAGAAAGGATATTCTTTGAGATCTGTAGTCATTTCCAGTCATTATGCTCACTACAAGACCTCAGCTATCCTAATGGAGCCTGGCTGCTCCTCTCTTTAATTTTGTAATATTCCTTAGCATTCCTTAACTCCTTATGCTGTCTCACATGTCCAAACTAACATTCTTTGCTCCGTGCCTGGGCTTTCCTTCTTCAGGACTGATCCCGTGATTTCCCACCTGGTTCACATGCCTCGTGACTGGATCCTCCTTGACTCCATTCCAGAACCGTGGAGCAGAGAGCAAAGTTGAATTTTCCCAAAGACAGATTTCTTTGTTGTTGAGATTACAGGCCTGCAAGCATAGGCTGAGGTATATACAGATAAAAAGCATGCAAAAGTGAGGGCCATTGCATGCTTAAAGGAATTATGGGGGCTACTGCTTGTTACCAGTGGTCACCTATCACAGAGAGGAACACTACCCACCCTCGCTCCTGTTCCACACAGCACAGCTGGCACCCAGGAGAGCCACAGAGGTTGTCTGCCCATGCACTGCTCGTTTGGCTGCCAAATGCCCGGAAATTATTCCTCTGTCAATGCTATAATGACTTCTATTCTGTCTGACTCCTGTGGTCTCTACAATCTCATACAGATATGTTTTTGAATAATAAGAACATGTAAGAAAAAGTATAATGAAATTAGCACTTTGATAGTCAAACAAGGCCAAGTCAAATAATACGCAATAAGAAATTCTCAAAATTCAAAGATGAACTTGCAAAAGGTAAGTAGTAATCAGGTATTACCTATGGTTATGTTATCTATGTCATTATCTACGCACATTCATTTACTCCTTGCATTTAGCTACTTTAATTAGCATCCCTCAGCAGCTCTCCACACCAGTGTTTCTGAGAGAGAAGTGAGGACTCTAAAAGTGCAGGAGTTGGTTCACTTTCAAGCAGCACGAGACAGTTAATTCCTTGCTGGAGAACTCACCTTGTTCATATCAAATGTGCGGAACATCTGCTCAATGTACCTATTGGCCTCCGGATCGAGCCCTCGAAGCCCAAAGAACTGCTTAAATTCATGCTCTGTCAGCTGTCCAGAAGGACACTCCGTCATGAACTTCTTGTACCAGTGGTGGATCTCCACAGCCTGTAGGTCATCCACTGTGGAGCTGCTGTTGTTTCCCATGAGTGTCTGTGGTCAGAAGAATGATGCTATGGGAGTGATCCTCTTCCTCCCGTGGCTCTCACAGCACTGCCTGTCTGCTCCTGTCCACGTTCAACAGTTATGGGAGGGATCTAACTTTCTGCAAGCCAATTATAAACATTAATCCTCTTAGAGGCTGGTCTACAAATCAGAAAGTTTCAATGATACAAACAGTCTTCTTAGAATGGATGCAAGATAATCTAGTAAATCACTGCTATTTCAGGAGCTAAACCAGAAAGGGTGAGAAGGTTAATCAGACACTGGCATCGGGAGCTATACTGGTTTGGTAGACTACCCTGTTTTTAACCTTGATATAATTATACATGAAGATAAGAGGAAATGGCTATGAGACGTGGGATGTGAGGTTAAGTAAGGATCTACTCCTCTAACTGGATTTGATAGTGTGTTTTCTCAAACAGACATGTTGAATAACTGGGTGAGTAGGACCAGAAGGTGTTACAGAAGTGGCCCAGTACAAGAGTGAGGCTATGTGGGGAAAACCTCACCTCCACGCACACAAAGTGGCACAGAGGAACAAAGTGGCAGGTGGGGGAATCCTAGTAATGCCCTAACCTGGCTAATCCCAGAATCACCACAGACCTGCAGTCAACCCAAGGTTCATCTGCACAAAGCAGTAGGAACAGAGACAACCACAGGCTGGGGACCAAATAACCCCGTAGGAGAAATGAAGGCCCTGTCCCAGCTCCTTCTAAGTCTGTCACAGGGGAGCCATCAGCCCCATGGGCCTAGAGATGACACCATCATGGTGAGTGAACAGAAGTTGTCAGAATACCTTACAGACCAAGTGGGTACTGCCTGGGGCATGGAAAACATGGTGCAGGGGAAGAGCATCTGTGGATTTATTGCACAAGACTCACAATGGGATGTTTAGGGGAGGAAGGAAAGGTGGGAAAAGGGATGGGTCTAGGCAGTTTGGTGATGAACAAGCACGGGAAAATGGAGGGAAAGGGGATACAAGAGGTTTGTTGTATGTAGAATGGTGTTGGTCAGTACGAATGTCTAGCCATACCCTGTGCCGGATCAGCACAGTCTTTCCTGTCTTCTAACATTTCTACCTCTTTTCTTCTGTCTGCACAGCGCTGTGCTCTGGACATATGTGTGCATGGGGATCTGAGTGCCCACAACTGGATTGAGTGAGACTGTGTCAGTCTATGATCACCAGTGACATCAAGCCAGACTAGCCAGCCCGTAGATTAAGTGTTTTGGGAATCAGGTGCGTGTATGTCTTTGTTAGTGAGACCACTGGAGTAGCTGACTATTGGAAGGACCAGGGGTCCAGCCCAACAGCTGGAGAGACTGAAGGTGTGGGGTTGAGGGAGATCCACTTGTCTGTGTGTTTGTGCAGGAGACAGAGAGCTGCACGCTGTGGGCCTCTGGAGGGACCCACAGTGCACGTGTCTGTTGGTATGTTGGTGTGTGCAAGGGAACATGTATCAGTGACTGAGGTGGGGATGTGTGCCTTGAGTGTCTGGCATGTCCATGTGCCAGCAGCTGGAGAGACCAGGCATCGAGAGCCAGCTGCTGGGTAGGCTGGATGTCTAAGCCCACCTACTGTGTGTATTTGCCACTGACAGATCTTCACAGAATCACAGAATGGTCTGGGTTGCAAGAGACATTAAAGGTCGTCTGATTCCACTCCCTGCCATGGGCAGGGGCACCTTCCACTGAAGCAGGTAGAGTCAAGTAGTAGAGGGGGGAGAATCCCCTCCCTTGACCTGCTGCCATGTTTCTTTTGATGGAGCCCAGGATACAGTGGGCTCCCTGGGCTGTGAGCACACTTTGCTGGTCCATATTCAGTTCTGCATTCACCAAGACCCCCAAGTCCTTCTCCACTGGAGAGGACTGCTTTCGATCCACTCGTCACCCAGCCTGTACCTGTGTTTGGGATTGCCCCAGTCCAGGTGCAGGACCTTGCACTTGGCCTTGTTGAACTTCATGAGGTTGGCACGAGACCTTCTCTCTACCCTGTCCAGGTCCTTCTGGGTGCCCCATCCCTTCCCTCTAGAGTATCAACCACACTACTTTAAGTATACACTTAAAGCCCAAATTTATTTTTAGTGTACTAGAAATTTTAACAGTCTAGTTCATGAGTCATTATTAATTACAGTAAGCAAAGAAAAATAATGTAGGCCAAGTACTTATATACAAGAAAAAAGTTGCACTAGTAGCAATAATCAAATTAAAATTGCAACACACCTGCCTTGTTTCTGTGCTTTTTCTGGTGTTACACTCACCTGCCTGCTGCTCCTCTGGGTATTAAGATCTGTGGTTCCCTCGGATGCTTGCAGGGGGGATGGGAATGTCATGGCAAGTTGTTAGCATCCAGAGTCCTTCACTGGAGGAATGTGATGTTCTTTTTAATGGTTTCCTCATCCTCTCTTCTTTTTGTCTTTTTTCCCTTTCTTCTCTTTCCTTCCACTTAGACTCATGTATGCACGTGTTAGAGTTGGAAATATCTCATTCTACCTAGAATAACTGCTTGTTATGACTAGCTATCTAGGACCACGGTTGTACCACACAGAGATAAATAAGCAAAATAAACGAGCCATAGTTTATTTTGACATTAGAGGAATTGCTCTCACAGCTGAACCAAGTGAACAAAGCTGCAGGAAGGGTGTGAAAAATTCAGACATGCCTGTCAAGCCTTGTCCTGAGGCCTTGTGAACTCAGAACAGAGCCTGTGGCCATTCCAGAAGCAGGAATACGGGTGCACCCAAATGCACACACCAACACGTGATGGGGATGGTCAGAGGAGAGGGAACTGGGCTGCTCAGGCTTCATGAACTCTTGCCTTACACCTGGCTGGGGGCACCCTCTGGGACCAGTGCAGACCAGGAGATGAATGGATGGAGAGTTCTGAAGAGAATGACTCAAAGAAAACAAAAAACTGGACAGGAGCTGGCAGTGTGCACATCCCCACCAGTGTGGGCAGCAGGGGAGGGGGGATTCTGTCCCTCTGCTCTGCTCTTGTGAGACCTCCCCTGCAGAGTTGCCTCCAGCCCTGGGGAACAACAGCACAGGGAGGACGTGGAGCTGCTGGAGAGAGTCCAGAGGAGGCCCCGGAGCTGCTCCAAGGGCTGGAGCCCCTCTGCTCTGGAGCCAGGCTGGGAGAGCTGGGGGGGTTCACCTGGAGAAGGCTCCACGGAGACTTACTGCAGCCTTTCCGTACGGAGAGGGAGCTTAGAAGAAAGACAAAAGTCTTTTTCTGCCAAGGGCTGTAATGCCCTACAAGGGACAACTGTGCACGAGGGCAGCTTTGCACTGGGTACATTCACAAGTGCCCAAGGCCAGGCTGCACGAGGCTTGGAGCTACCTAGTGGAGTGGGACACGTCCCCGCCAACGGCAGGGGGTGGGACTGGATGATCCTTTAAGGTCTGTTCCGCCCAAACCAGTCCGTGACTGGGCCCCGCCTCGGGCGCTCCCAGCACCGAACGGGCAGGCCCCGAGTCTGCCGGGCCCCGCCCCCGACCGGCCCCGCCCCCGACCGGAACCCGCGGCTGATTGGCCGCTGCTTTGCTATTGGGCGGGGCCCCAAGGCCTCCTCGGATTGGTGACTTTGTGCCATGTTGCAGGACAACGATGGCATCGCTGCTGCTGCTCCGTCGCGATTGGCTGGCGGTCATGTCCATCTTTCAAGTTCCGCAGGTGATTGGTCACTGTCCCTCCGGGGCGGAAGCGGCGGCGTGTTCCGGTGCTGAGGTGGCGGCGGGAGCGGAGTGGCGGCGGCGGAGCCGGTGGCGGCTCCGAGCTGTCTCTCGGCGGTGCCTCTCCGCCGTGCGGCAGGTCAGTGCCTCCCTTCGGTGCCGTCCCCCCGCCGTGTACGGCCCGCGGGCTCTACCGCCCGGCTCTCGGCGGCGTTCTCGGGCCGCGCTCCTTCGTGGCCTTGCGGGGCCGGGGCGGGTCCGCAGCTCCCTGGGGCCCGGGCCGTGAAGAGCAGCGGGCCGGGCCTGTCCTGTCCTCTCCCTCCGGGCTTTGCGGGCCGGCCCGGCCTCCCGCCGCTGGGACACCGCCGGCGGTGCCCGCCGGTACCGGGAGCGCAGCCCGGCCGGGGCAGGTTCCCGCCTCGCCGGAGGCGTTGTCCGGTACGTCTGCGGGGCTGCCGGGGCCCCTCGGCGCTGCCCGCCCCACGCGGGGCAGGAGCCGCCACTCCCGGGGCACGCACGGCGCTCCAGAGCTCCCCGCCGGTCCTGGGCTCTGTCGGAGCCCCTGTGCACAGTGTGAGACGTTTGGTCCAAGGCTTGTGTACAGCAGCACTGCCTTCAATGCCTGTTTGATTTGTTCAGAAAAAGGAATTAACTTCATTTACGTGTAATAACCTTAGAATAGAATAAATTAGGGAAAAACACTTCAAGTCTTTCCCTGCTGTTGCTGGTACCTGGGGATAGAAAGGCTTGATTTCTGCCCAGCTTACTGTGGGCTGTGCTGACACTTCCAGTGGGCTGAGGCTGTTTGGGGCAGTATTTCAGAGGAAAGGAGCCTCTTCCAGATCACTGCTGGTAGTCCCAGTGTTCAAAGTAAAGTCGCCCCAGGGAAAGTTCATTAGTCATAGGAATGGTGAGCAAAAGGTTATTTTCAATTACAGCGAGAATGCAGAGGATCCTGGCTCACATCTTGAGCATAGTGGGGGTCCCTGTGCTCTGCTGTTCACTGCAGGGATGGGAATCCACACCCCAGTGAGAGCCTGGGAGAGCCCCAGACTTGTCTCTGAGAGCTGCACTGTTTGCTTTATTGGGGCGAGGCAGTGGAACTCTGACTAACCTCTGTCTTTCTGTGTTTGTCTACTTGTGTTTGTGGGGAAACTGGCCAGCATTATATAACACCAGGATATTCCTGCCACGAGTCCTTGAGGCTAATGCATAGGACAGCCACCACCCTGTGTGCAGACTGTTGGCTTTGGGACAGAATTTAAAGCTGTGCTATGCTTGTTCCTGCTGGATTTGTTCTCAGGAAGGGTTTGAAG